TATTAAGCACTGAAAAACCGCGCTTTACCCGCTTCGCGTCTTTTATGTTTACAGCTACGTCTTCATTCGCTTCTCTCACGCGACTCTCCGGCCGGCCGACGCGACGGACCGCGCTCTTTCACCGGCATTATCTGTTTCCTCGAAGGATAGAATCGTCATAAAGAGGGAGACAGAACGAGAGAGAGAGAGAGAGAGAGAGGGAGGGAGGGGGAGAGAGAGAGAGAGAGAGAGAGAGAGAGAGAGAGAGAGAGAGAGAGAGCTGTCGAGTATCGAGAGAATGCGAGCATCGATCGGACGTAACTTTTCCTTACTATGTGCTCAAAATCGCGCGTCAAGAAGCGAGGGAGACTCAGATCTGCGCACGGAACAGAGTTCGTTGCAAGAAGAAGAAATATTAATATAGCACTTTCCGTCATCGTCTCTCGATTGAAAAATCCAATCCAACAGAGTGCATCTCGTCTCATATCGGCTTTCGGAAGAGGGAGAGGGATGGGGGAGGGCAAGGGTATCTAAAAGCGGCGGCCGGTCGCGCGCGATAATTCACTCGGCGAGTTGATCCTCGGTCGGGAAGTTTTAATCGCTAAATGGGAATATTGCACCGGGTTCTTAAGTTTTATGAACTACATACCGTCGTCCGGAGTACATCGCGCTTCTGTCCGGTTAATTTTACGCCGGTCGAAAGTTGGCACGAGAGAGTCCCCTCCTACGGACGGAATACGCCGCTTATTAATTCTTAACCGGCGCTCAAAGTCAACGCGAATACGCGCCCGGCGGTACGAAGAATTCTTGACAAATTTCGAGATTGACGCGGGAATCCCGAAGAGAGAGAGAGAGAGAGAGAGAGAGAGAGAGAGAGAGAGAGAGAGAGAGAGAGAGAGAGAGAGAGAGAGAGAGAGAAAGGCACAGACTGTCGGTAATAATTTGAGGAACCGCGATAGACCACACAGGACAGAAGGGGTTGCATCCTCGGAGGGTCCTGCCTCCTGAGACGTAGGTATGTGTAAACCTTCTGGCACGTTACGATGAAATAAAACGTGAGCCTGGCGTGCCTCCATCCACTCGCCAGGACCTCTCTACCTCTCCCTCTTTTTCTTTCTCACTTTCTCTCTCTCCGTCTCTCTCACACACGAATCCTGCGAGACACCGTCGACCGCGTCGTTACGTTAATGGGACGGCCGCTATTATTTAATTCCACCAAATTGCCGGTCGGCCCGCCGAGAAACAGGCGTAAAGCCTCCTAAAAACCGCCGCGGGTCCGCCGTACTCCCGGGCTCTATGCGACGAGGAAAAAGGAAAGGAAACGGACTAACGGGGCAAATAAAATCCGAGAGATCGAACTCGGCCCTCAAACGCCGGCGCGCGCGATCGTCTCGTTGCCGTAAATTACTCTCTTGCGCGGGCCCCGATACGAACGCGGCACGCCGTTCATACGGGATGCCTAATTATATTTTTCCCGCGATCGTTAATATCCCTATTAATTTATCCGGACCACACGAAGCGAAACCACACCAAGCCGACCTCTATCGCCAACTTCCACGCGCGGCATTCAAAGCCACGCTGCTTCCTTTTATTCGCCTTGCGCGTCCTCGGAATCCCTCGACGCGGCGCGGCGCATAATCTCCATCCCTTTCTCTCTCGCGGAAGCCAACTAACGAGAGAGAGAGAGAGAGAGAGAGAGAGAGAACATCGAGTCCAAGTTCCAAGTTTGCATACGATTTTTCGAGATTACTTCCAATCGAATCGTCTCTGGCCGACTACTCGTCGCGCTTACTTTCTTCCACGAGGGCAGGCAAGAAGAGGTCCCGGCTGGCGAGATCCTCGCCAGCTGGTAAATCTCGCGTCGTCCATCTGGAGAAAGGAGCGATCGTACGCGTCACTATTGCGCAGCGTGCGCAGCGCAGCGCGTACACGCGGGAGTTGAGTTACGCGCCGCGGTGTCGCGCGCGCTCTAGAGAGAGCAAAGGAACGGAGGTGAGGAGAAAACGTATTAAAAGGGCATAAGAGAGCGGGCCGCGACCGCAAACTGATTAAATGCGGTCTGCGCGGGTCGCGCCGCGGGACTTAATACGAGCGTCGTGTAAGTTACACGGGCTCTCTCGAAGGGGGACCTGCGAGCGCGCTTACCTGTACCACCGCGCGTCGCCTCCACGCGACACGTTACACGTTTCTCGCTCGGCCTCTTTGAACCAGTTTCTCTCCCCTTCGCGTTTACAACGCACGCGTTTTGCGGCTGCCCGCTCGCGACGCGGCGCGGCGCGGCGCGGCGCGGCGCGGCGCGGCGCGGAGAAATTGCTTTTGCACCTACTGAAAACGATCGCTTTCGTAATCCGGTCGAAAAGCGCACTCGCGGTCTTACGTAAGCGCGTAAATCGCGCAGAAATCGCGCCGCCGCGGTTACGTTGTACGGCGGCTCGCAATCATTCGTCGCGTAGATTGCTCGTTCCGCGTTTGTCAGAATCTCAGAGTGTCAGTATCCGTGCGCAGTATCGTGCGAGCGATGCCTAACGTTTTCTTCGTTATTATATACGTCGCGTTGGGAAAAGCGTTTCGCAACGCTTTGATATCTCGCGTTCCCGCACTCTGACGGCGGGGCATCGTTCATTTATCCCGCCGAGCGGCATCTGTCCGGCAGGACGGCGAAGATACTCGCTGTAATTTACACACTTGCCCAAGGTTGCTTTTGAAATGCTTTTGAAACGGGGGGACGGGAGGATTATAAATGGGATGCTTGCGGTATTTCCAGATAGCAGATTGCAGATAGCGGTATTTGCAGATCGCGTTTCGGATACACGTGGAATAATAATTGCTCCGAGAAATGTTTGCGCCGTAAACGAGAATTATTTCGTTCGTTTGGACATTGTCTGTACGCGTGTGTGTATTGGTATACCGAGATGTCTGACGAATATCGAGCGGTGATAAACGCACATTGCAGTCGGAATGCTTGATTGGCACGCAGTCTGCAATCTCTGGCGATGATTCACAATAACATTTCGTGAATCGCTGCGCGGTCACCGTTTAGAAGATAAACGATCCGGTCGAATGTACGATATAACGCGAGAGGCCGTCGGAAGATATCTCGCCACGGATTTATGTATAAATTTATGTCATTCTTCATATATTCCGCGTGGTCTTTTTTCTTCCGTCAAACACACGGAATGTCGCAAAAAACTGCCTTACTTTAATTTACTAGCAACTTCTACGAGCTTAATTCGAGCCGAAAATCCTCGCACGAAAATATCGAGGTCGCGATTATTTCTCAATTATAAGCGCTCATATAACCAGGCAATAATATCTCGCGCGCCTTGGCTGTGTCTATCGATCTGTCATCTGTTATTGATTTCCGCGGCTCAGCTGATATTGACTTTTATGACCTAGCTGTAAAGTTCTCCGCTTTCTTACGTGCACCGTGCATCCGCTATAACGATCAGCTGATATCAACAAGTCGATTACTGATAATAAGTGTTAACTGTCGCGCGCGAATTAGTTAATCCTCGCAATAAAATTTAAATAATCGATTGATCACTCCTTTCAGGAGAATTATAAACCCCGTTAGACATGTGAAGAATAAAGTTTATCCCCTCGCGAAAATCGATAACGGTTAATTACGGATCTGACCGTGAGGAAGTAACACGACATCGTTCGACGGATCACGGCGGTCGCGACATTTTCTACTCAAGCCACGTTTCAATGCAGTATAAAAAAATATAATTTAAATACATATATATTATATGTCGGAATCGAATTCATGGTCTTAAACACACAGGCGGTGACTTTTCATCAAAGTTCAATGCGATTTGCGTTGAAAATCAATACTACTCATACAAATATGTGACACACTGTGTGTGTGTGTGTGTGTGTGTGAAATTTAACACTCACCGTTGCGCGTCGAGGTCCATCGACGAAGTCCAGCCGCTACATTCAGCTTCCAGCGTCGTCCCACGTTGATTGCACTTCATTTCATTGCATTCGCGACGCGTTTAATGCTCACGTTCAAACGGCGTTTAATAAACGTATCGATGGTACCGACAAATATATATAATTTATTTTTTATCTAGACGGATCCTACGAGTTTCGTTCGAAACGAGATATATAAAATCGAAATTTATGAATTTCTCTCTAATAAATTTTTCGCGATGCAATAAATTTTGGGACTTCGAAAACAGCATTTGACGATACGATAATTTTCAGCATGTCGCGAGTCGCGCGTTAAAGGTCACGAAACGAAGACCGCGGCGTCTTCAGCAAAATCGAAAATGACGAAGATAATATACCATCTCTACTTGTCAGAAAACAGGTTTCTCGCTTTGCGTTATAATACACTCGCGTGTCATTTTAATATACTCACGGCACGAATCGCGTATAAAAAAGTCGATGATGCACGTCGCGAATTAAACGCGGAAGTAACGTAACGAAAAATACAAATCTCGCGGAAGGAACGTAATCGCGATGCAAACGTGACACGAACAAACCTGAAGATAAAAATAGAAAATAACGTATGACAGTTTAGCGATATTCCATATATTTCACGAAAAAGAAATTCCACGGCTATGTGGAAGATATTTTTAGTATGATATAAATTTATCCTCGTATCTAAGAATAAAACACAATCGCGGGGCGATATCGTTAATTCAGCAACGCGCGCGTTCAAACGTAACGAAACAATCAAACATAATATCAAAACAACTGTGAAACTCCTGCTTTCTCAGTTGACATAAGCACAACACGTAAACAAAGGCTCGCTCGCACGACCAAATCTCGTGTAAGCAAACTTCGCGTTTGAAACAAAAAACCAATACTTTGCATCTTCATCGTGACAAATTCTCGGAAAGAATTTGTCGATTAATATGATATTACATCTTGCGCAATTTTCTGTCGATTTTACAAACTGACTACTCATTCGTGATTGCACACTAGAGCAATCTGGCCGTTATGCTCTGACTTTCAATCGGTATCGGTAAAGTGTTAAAGATAGGAAAGTTACGGCAAGTCGGTGACCTTACCTTCGAGCTGATTCTGCTCGGCCCGAACCGGATCCTCCGGTGCAGCAATCCGCGTTCACCAGACCCTCTAAACACAAAGACAATTTCTTTAATTAGTTAATTAGTTATTAGATGCAGCTCTGATATAAAATTGAAGATCGTTATATTGCAATACGAGTTTCGACTGTATAATTCTCTGTTAAATCAAGTAGTATCAAAATACAATAGGTACCTCCGAAGAGACTCTCGGACGCTCCTGAAGTTCACGATGATTCCAGCACACTATTCGCACGCGCGAAATATTATAATAACGCGTTTTCGCGAGTCGATCCGATTAATGTAAAGCAAAGTGGAAAATCGCGCGCGATATGTCTTTCATTTGCGCACCGCCTTTGTACCGCCGACCGTTTCAACACTGTGAGCGTGTTGTTCTGCCGAGAATCAACCGACTAACTCTCTCAGTCGTGTTTGAAGCAGCACCTTTGTACGATTCCTTTCATTGCTTTGACGTCGATTATTTTATATAATATTATCACAGGCTATTTTTCGTATTACCCAATTTTTTAATGCGCGCTTCACGACGTCTCGCGCGCGGAATATTATAACGCGTTTTCCGGACGCGGCCGAAAATCGACCCGATTCATTCCGGAAGGTGGAAAGTAACGCGCAGCGGAGCGTCTGCCGTCACGTTCACCGTCACGCCGTATTATGAGACCTAAGCGCGGCGCAAGCACCTTGATATATCACCTTTGTCTCGGAGGTCGAACGCCTCTCGACATAAACACGAGTGATGTTTTATCGACCTTGTCTCGCTATACGGGATGCCCCAAAAATGTCAAACGATACTTTACTAACATTCAGCTACTTGATCGGCACTATTTTGATATATGTTTTCGCACTGCCGAATGTTTATATCCGTGAAACGCGTTTCTTTGTGGCGGACGTTGTTCGTCGACTGTACAAGGTTATCGTAATCTCGAGATAGAAGGGTCGAAGGTGTCGTTTCTTGTACGCTAGAAAAATCGCTCGTATGATAAATCGTAGTGCTTTCACGTTCGATGCAATCGATGCCAAACGAGAAACGGACGCGATTTGTCGCGCCCTAAAACTGCTCGCAGGTTGCGAGCAGGTAACAGATTGCCGTGAGCGTGACTAATTGGCGCGCAGACTGCAATCTGCAGCCTGCTAAGTTTGTGACAAATAGAGGTAAAGGAAAGCGTATCGTTTATGACATAACCGGCCGCTTAAAACGTTTCCTGTCCGCGTGAGACTAATCGTATAAATTATTCATCGACGTAATAAATACGACACGCATTTGAGAACGTCGCTGATGTTTATGAATGTGGACATTATTAGCTGCGCGGTGCCGTCGATCATCGTTTCTTCGTAAACGAACGCTTCTGTGTTCTTTACACGAATCGTTAAATCGACTTCCGATTGGTTGAAGAATTTTTAAATAATAGGAAGCGCCAAGGATACCTGGAATATTCTCTGCTCGTGAAATGTTCTCTGTCAAGAAGTTCTCTGTCTGAAGGAAATGTTGATAATTCACGTGAGAAAAAGGCAAATCCAGCTAAATTTCCGACGACTTTTTAGTTACGTAAGATATATTTTTCTGCGCGAGCCGACACTCACTCAATATTGAACTCTGAACCGAGTCGGATCTCCTCTCGCTGCAGATCTTCCAAAAATACACCAGCGACGGCGAGTCGCAATCAGTCCGACTGATTACCGCGTGTACAGGCAACGCTCGCAGGCATGGCCGATAAAGCGGTACGAGCCGCGCGGCGTTATTTTTCATGCGCGTAGTATACGGCATTACTTCGACCGCGATATCGTCGCGACTCGAATTCCGTGAGATTATGGCGTTAATTAGCGGCGATTAATCGCCGAGTGCAGCTCGTAAGCGAGCGAGCGAGCGAGCGAGCGAGCGAGCGATCTTGGAATTCGGGGCGTCCGAACCTTTTTAGAGCACGCGTCGTTCGACCGCGCAGTCAACCTATAATAAAGATCTCGTGCGCGCGCGGACTCGTTCGTCCGAAGAGCAGACCGAAAATAGAAGAAAGAACATAACGTTGGTACATATATATTTCAATCCGTGACCGTGTCATCGGTTACTCAGCATGGAAGAGTTTGAGGATGTGGGCAGCTGCTGCGGACGAACGATTCGTCATTCGAGTCGGCAGCGTAGTGACGGCTATCAATCCGCTTTACGTTCGTGAGCTTCGTTCTAAATAAGAAGTAACGCTCTCGCGACGCGTCGTGCTTAATCAATGGTTTCGCTCTCGCTTCGCGACGCTTCGGGGCTTTAACCCGGTTAGTTTATCAGAGATTGACACTCGGCCATTGTCTCTCTCTCTCTCTCTCTCTCTCTCTCTCTCTCTCTCTCTGTTTCTCTTTTTCCGTTTCTTTACCTCTCTTTCTTCCTTCGTGATTCCGATTGCGCATCGTTGAAGGTCGAGCGGGTATCGGGACCAATCGGCGATAAGACTCGGCGTGTGTGAATCCGCGTACCTGTGGCGCTGTGATCGAGCGTTTCGTCGAGTAGCGCCTCGTAATCTTTCTTTGAAAACGTGAATGAGGGAGGTAAAAGGCATCCTCTCACGAGGATTCCCCTCCGAGAGGTTTCCGGCCCGGCCCGGCCCGGCCCGGCACGGCACCGCCGGAGGGAACAAAGGTCCTGTAGTATTGTTCTATGATTTACACCAGCTCAGGTCTCAGGTATTCCGGGACCGGGGACCTGGTGAATTTGGCCGGTACCACGACACCGACACTTGTCGCCCTCGGTAATTAAGCGAACGGCCCAATTCACCCTCGTCTAGCCGCCGCTAAGGTCGCCACTCGTTTCTCTTTCTGCCAATGAAGCTGGTTCCTTCAGAATGGCTCCTAAACGACGCGACGTGTAGGGTAGCTAGCCCGACACCGATGGTACAGATTAATTCGGATAGGTAGGATCGCTTTGTACCGATCAAATCTACCGACCGGCAGGGCCGTGCCACGTTCGCGGTGCCGTTAACGAGGCCGACCGAGACAAGAGTTGAAGAGAATAAAAGACCTCCTTGACACTTTCCTTATATCGACACCGAGTCGATATAAGGTGACTCGAGATAAAATTGATCTCTGCTCTCGACACATTTCTGCCTCTCATCGCGTTAATTGCTATAACAATGCATCGGAACTTTCGTCTATTTGCCCGTTGACATACGACTGATCGAAATCGTCGAGTGCGCCTGTTATCTCCTTGTTCGTTGCAAGTGGTGAAGAACCTTGAGATAATCGTGAGATTAGAGCAAGATAGAAAGAGACGGAGAAAGAGAGAGAGAGAGAGAGAGAGAGAGAGAGAGAGAAACTTTGCGAGAAACACTTATATACAGAGATGTGGTTCGCGTGTTAGACACGTGAAACGGGACTTCAGAGTTCCTGAGTCGTGCCTGGAATCGAAGGGTCGCTGCCCTAAGAGATACGGCCCTAAAAGGGCGCCGACAACGTCGGCGTTCGATGAATTAGGCCGCTTGGAGCAACATTTGGCGACATGTAGAGGGAAATCTATGAACATCCATGAAGAAGTGGCGGACTGAATTCCGTGACATGAAATGGCAAGACCCTGCGTGTCTCGCTCTCGCGCTTATCAGGTTAATCATTAGACGCGGTCGAGGCTAATTAAAGCAGCCGTGATGGCGATTTGGAGAATCGCCGTGCGCGCGAGCGCTCCCTTCGATAGCCAAGGAGAACTTCGCCGTCGGCGATTCGATAACACCGTTTTCACTACAACGTTGGATTTCCTCGGCGACAAATATCTCGGATAATCGAGAGCTTCGAAGCTGTCGAAGTAACGGCCGCTTGAGATTAATCCCCAGAGATTCAATCGAGATTTTATCGCTCGCACCCCTGCAGCTTAATTCGCCGAGACTGCGATTATCACGACGCCGTGTGTTGATGGGTGTTGCACGAAACGTTCCACAATGCCGGGCACTATCGCGGCTATCTACAGGCCGCCGGGCATCATCTCGGATATCGAAGGCATGTTGAACACGCACTTAATAGTGCAGCGCAAGCAAAGCGCAGGAACTCGTACACGTTGGGCGGGCGTTAATTCTCCTTCTTGTCGCTATCAGCGGGCAACGTGACGCCGTAACCGCGGATGAAATCGCGAGCGAACCCGCGCTCGCTCGCGATCGGTCTGCAATAATCGGCGGCGCGGCTCGTTTGATAATTAATTATCTCGTTGCGTTAAGCGGCCACCGGTTGTCCGTGATGCCGCGGCTACGTTCCATCGTCAGTGTCTCATTCTCACTCCGGGAGAGCCGCGTCGCGAATTTTTCTCTCTTCTCTCTCTCTCTCTCTCTCTCTCTCTCCCCCTCCCTCTTCCCCCGCGCCGTTCTCCCGGGCGACGACGCAAAATTCGCACGTGTTCGGAAGCGCGCGACGAGTCCTTGAGTGAACGTCATTGTGAATGGTGCAACTTCTCTCTTTCTCTCTCGCTCGCCCGCCGCCCCGACACATTCATTGAAATATATTAAAATATAATCGTGCGCCGTTGACTCATTTAGAAAAACAAACCTCGGGCTCGCGAGGAGATTGCGCAACCGCCCGCTCGTCACTGTCACCGGACACATACGAGTGAGTGCGGCGGAATACCACAGCCGATACGCCTTGTACCGTAATTTATATACCGCTTGGCCGTCATCACACATCTCGGCGGCGAAATGAAAGTAATAAAAAGAGATAAATAAATCGCGCGCGAATGACGCGCACGCCGCCGCGAGCGTGCAGAAATACGCGCCGGCACGCCTGCCGATGGCTAGTCGAGCTTCTCTCTCTCTCTCTCTCTCTCTCTCTCTCTCTCTCTGTCTCTCTTTCTCTCTCGCTCGCTTGCCTGCGGACGAGCGCGTCACTGCTATTGATGCGTGCACACTTTCGATCCGTGGATTGTCCAGCTGTTATAAAGTGACCTTTAAGTTATTGTGCGCCGATGGTGCGTTGCGTGATGGTTCAAAAATGCGAGTGTGCGAAACGTTCGGCCGGCGATGCGCCAGCTGCGGAGAAACCGAGAGAATATTCCGCGAAAGAGAGAGAGAGAGAGATAGAGATAGAGATAGAGAGAGAGAGAGAGAGAGAGAGAGAGAGAGAGAGAGAGAGAGAGAGAGAGAGAGAGAGAGAGATAGAGAGAGAGAGTGAGGAGCGCCTCTTTCTCAAGAAAGAGAGAAGCCAGCCATTTGAGGAAGAACATTCCGAAGATGAAGTTATGTGATACACACGGCGATATTTGCCTTCGATCCGCGCCTTCGTTCTTTCGCGCTCCTCTCCAACAACCACCGTGCCTTCCGAAGCTAACTTACCGAGTCTCAAGAAGAAAATCCTACATGTATCTTCTCTTTTATTTAACGTACTTAACATATCAAACAAGATCCATTGACAGAGAGTGAGAGAGAGAGAGAAAGAGAGAGAGAGAGAGAGAGAGGGAGGCCGAGTGCGATAGTGCGAACGGCGCTCCGAACACCGTTCATCTCCACACCGAGCGGGTATCTCCAGAGGAGCTCCAGAGAGACTCGTTTTAACAGGTGACCGTACGCGCGCAGAGCTCCGAAGCGGGGAGAGAAGCTGCATTGTGCGCGCGGTGCTATTCGTAGGGCCGCAGCCGGCGCGGCGATGCGCGCTAAGGGTTGTCGCCGCGAAATCGCCGTCGCGACGGCTATCGCGCTCGGGCCGGGCACAAAACGCGCACGCTACGCGCGTTTCCATGTGATTTCGCTGTAAAAGAGAGTACAGTCGCGAAACAGAGAGAGAGAGAGAGAGGGAAAGAGAGAGAGAGAGGGAGAGAGAGAGAGAGA